CCTTGTATGTCAACCAAATTCCCCATTTCCTGCTGAAGTTAACGTGTGGAGTTATGGTGAGATTTCTGCCTGATCACAGGTTATGACGTTTAGTTTTGTTTGGTGAAAAGGTTCAATCAAAAAATGTACTTTCCCAAACAACAGACACAAAAGAAGAGTGAAGACTAAATCATGTGTGCTGACTCAGCAAGGATGATATTAAATGAGTTGATCTACAGGAGAAACATATTTTAAAGCAATAAATAATGCCAGAGAGCATCACAACAACATATTCTATTATTTTAATATGTTGAATTGTCACCTGCTACATGAATTTGTGTTTTTCTTTAAATCAAAACATATCCACCATTAATTTGGTGCATGAAAGGCAGAAGTTTTCACCAGAATGCAAATTAAGTCCCTAATGCTCAAACTCTTCTGTGGGAGGACCCCCAGACCCCCCACTTATAGAACCGCTGATCTGGCCCCACCATTAGGCTACAATTTCAGTTTGTCCAACACTAATAGCAAAACCAAAGACTTTCCCATCAAGCCTAGCTTTACAGCTGTATTTTGTACTAATTAGCAATTGTTATAATGCTAAAACACTAAGGTAACATGGTGAACATGGTAAACATACCTGCTAAATATGAACATGTTAGCATTGTGCTGAGCAGGTTGAAGTAAAAAATACAAAAGTAACACTTCCTTCAGATTTAGTTTGCATATTCTCCCCCTTCCTGTGTCCTCACAGTCCCGGGTTAATTCCCCAGGTGGCCCCAGAGCAAAAGCTGTGATGTGTTGGTTTGTCTTTAGTAGCCTAATTAGTTTGTGATAATGTGATTACTCACAAGTATATTTAGTAAAATGCAAAAGTACAATATAAAACGATCTAGTAAAGCCCTAAAACTAGATGTGAAATAAATAAATGATGTTATCTTAAAATTACCACACAGTGAACCCGGACATCCAGAAACAATTACTCATCTCTGGGAGAGATTGCTATGAAATTTGCTCTTATATATTCATGTTCCCCTCAGGATGACTTGTAGAAACTTTGATCATCTGACTTCTCATCTAGTTGCTTCTGCACACAGATAATCAAAAGGCGCTCTGTTCACTTCGTTCTTGCTGTTTGAGGGTGAAAAGGTTCACGGGCATCGTGAGGTCTGGTATTTTTTATGTAATTTGACTAAAAACCTTTAATTTGAACTAGGATTATTACAGTAACTTAATAAAAAAGTAGTAGAAGTGTGCCTTAAAATAATTATAACAACATTGGTAAAACAGGTTTAATACTTATTCCTCTGATTTATAGCTTACTTGTCAGCCCGTTTTTAAAATTATCATTAAATTCAGAACAGTATTGGAATAGATTTAGCCTACATTTTAACTGTTTACAACAGCAAACCTACTATATACACTAAATAACTGTAAATGTAATAATGTCAGTGTTAATGTAAAATAAATAATATTCCTGACATCAAAGTAAAGAGTGGCCCAAATAGATTTCAGAAAAAGGTATGAAAAGTTAATGTGAAAGGTAAATGCTATACTCTGTCATGGTTATTATGGGCCAACATAATGAACACACACACACACATCTTAGTTTATTTATTTAGATTTATGATTAGACATATAGTCCAATATCCAAGGGGAAAAGGTGATGTTAGCCTGTATTTCATTCACCAGTCACATACAGCTGGGCTCCCATTCATTGTCCTGACCCCGGCTTCCTGTTCATTCTTACCCAACGGATTTGAAACAACTGCTCTAGTCAGAGCTGAAACACAAACCTTAAACCTTTGCTGGTTTAACTGTTTAAAACAAGCTGCAGCATCACAAGTTGAAAACGTTAATCCATAAACCAAATAAAACTAGTTACTAACCAGCATATTTACCTTCCATTAGAGTTTCTGTCATTTGAATTAATGTCATCCAACCTGTGCAACATAACCAAGCAACCACAACAATGTTGAAATTATTTTCCAGACCAACACAAAATTTTCCACTTGACTTTTTCTGTCATTTTCCATGTGTTTTCCATGACTGGAACTGTCAACTTTTTCCAGGTTTTGTCTTTTACAGACCTTTTCATAGCCTGCTCTTTATTTTGTGGTCTTTCAGAGAGCAAACCAAGACAAATCATAAATTCAATTGACCTACCTAGAGGGTGGTAATCTCAATTCTCAGATATAATCGTTGGAAAGAAAATTGCAAAGTTTAGGCAAATGTAGCAACTCCTCACATTTTCAGTATATAACTGATACAATTTGGCATGCAGGAGCTGTAGGAGTCCACACTGAACTTCATCTTTATGCAGTATTAAAGTTTAATACCAGAAAACAAGACCAACATTTCTTTCAATGAAAGAATCAACATTACAGGGAGCCACACAACAGGACGAAGTTTTTCTGACCTATATGAAACAACAAAAGCATGTTTTCAGTGGCTCCACCACTGAACATCCAGATCAGTAATGACCAACCTTTTATTTACTGTAAAATCAACTGAGAGTAGAAGGTAGCATATAAACTAAGAGTATAATGAAGGAGATCTGTAGCTCAACATAACACCAGACAGAAGCAGCCCTGATGCCTGTTGCTCTACATGGTGGACTGAATCCAACATTTAAATGATCTGTTCATCTGATTTCAACAAGAGGTCTGAGTCTGAATCGTCACCTTCATGCAGAGACAGCAGAAAGATTTAAGTCAACACATTGTAGTCATTTGTAGATGTGATTTATTTGGCTACTATAAAATAATAGTGCACAAACATTGTAGAAATACTTCAAATGTACAAAATCATAATGTCCCTAAAACAGAACCTAACAAACTGAATGTTTTTCCAGACGTTTACTCTTAAAAGCAAAACACTAGAGGTAAATCTTACAAAGTAAGTTCAAGGGCAAGAAGTTGATTAATGTTTAACATCATAAAAGAAAAACAATGTTTCAAAGTGAAAAAAACACAAAGAAACATAATATAAACATAACTTCAGTGAGGACCAGGTGCCCTGACCAAAGGCCCGTTCACATTTGATGTTTTGGGAGTGTAAAACTTGAGATTAAACTTCAAAAAACAGCTTATTTCCATAAAGTAAATTTAGCTCTTAAAGTGTCAGACAGCTGCCTGATATTATTTAGTTCCCCATTTCACACCAAAATAGTCTGAAAGCTGAAAGAGCCCACTGCCATCAGGGTATCTGTTTCCATAAAAGGAGGGTCTGCAACCATGTTCAGGCAGGTGGTACATCCACATGAACATTGACCACCGAATCACACTGCCTCCGCCAGCCTGCCTTCTTCCCTTAATGATATTGGCACAAGGTTTTGTAGTGAGAGGTATGTGGTTAATAAATATTTACACTCACGACTGATCTCTACAGAACAACTAGTTTGTTTTTAAATGTTTTCAATTTAGCGAAGAGTAAAACTCCACTGAGTAAACACTGACGTTACAACAAGGTTCATTTTACAATCAGGAGCCGGCTCTTGATCATCATGTTCGTGGTTTCAGCCACCTACTGATATGTAGTCTACTACAGTCAAGTAACATTTTGAAAATAAGTTCATTTGTGAATCGTATAGATCAGTCTCAAACAAAACAGGGTTCTCACAGTTATCCTCCTTCGGGGCAGAGAGCCCGATGATGAAGAAAGGCTTGGCACTTCAGACTATTTTTTACATTTTACTTAAAATTGGTATACACTGTATGTCAGAGGTCACACGCCTTTGGAGAGGTTAAGTGTCCAGGGACACATTGATCGATGTAGTCGGAATTGAACCCGAGTCTCTCAAAACAAAGGCATGGATCTTATCCACTGATGCATCACCAACCCCTTCATTGTGTTTGAGCAAACTATAAAAAACCAATATAAAGTCTCAAAGTGATCCTGCTGATAATGATGAGTTACAATCACGGTTAACGTGAATTCTGGAGGTACCTTGCTAACCAAGCTACATCGCACCCTCATTTCATCCAAAAGATGGTCACGTCAGATGCCTCATTGCAAAATAAATAAATAAAGATGGCGGTGGCCAAAATGTCAAACTCGAGGCTTCAAACCAACAGTGACGTCACGGTGACTACGTCCACTTCTTTTATAGAGTCTGTGGTTGAGAGAAGAGGACAGTTCTTCTGCAGGCAGTACTTTCCACAGTCTGACCCAAACGTGTTCAGCAAGAACATCCACAAATTTAAAGAAAACTTTTTCCCAGGACGTCTGATGCAGCCACGTCCCAGAGTTTGAGGTGAGCTGAGGATGAAGAACACACAGAGCAGAGGCCATGAGTTGTTGCTGCACCAGAGCCTTAATTCAACATAACCACATTTCACTGCTGATAAACCCACGTACAACATAAACTTCTCAAACATCTGCAGGTTAACAGATTAAAGCTCCAGAGTTTTCATTTGACTGCACGTCCAGTGCAAAGTTATGGAAATAAAGTATTTCTTTATGAGCAACTAACTAGAAGCCACATTGGATACAAAAGACTCAAAAAGCAGACCAGCTTCACCTTCTTCTCTTAAGAAAAGCTGACAGAGAAAGTAGAAGAGGCTCCTCAGATTCAAAAAGATCCATTTATTGCACTCGTAACAGATTTTGCACAAAAATAAATAAATTATTTGTGTGTCTGAGGAGCCTCTTCTGCTGTTTCTCAGCAGGGGTCAAAGTTCATGATCAAACCAGACTCACCTTCATTCTGATGGTAATCTGTGTCCATCATGAAGAGCTCCCTCCTGCTGATCCAGTGGGTCCACTTGTGGCTGGAGGGGATGCTGGTCTGAATCCCTAAAGTGATGAAGATCAAAGAGGGGGAGAAGTGTAGAACGCTCTCGTCTCCGTTAACATCAAATACCAACGAGCTCTTGAGCAAGGCACCTAGACTGGAAGTAGCCTTTCTGGGGTGACGTCATACTTTGGCAGCTGGAGGGACAAGTTTAATAATCAGTCAACTGTCTCCAAGAAAAGTCTGGTAAGATTTACACAACATGATTAGTTTCCTTCTGACTCACATTTAGTTTTTGAGGCTTGTGTTTAATCACATATCCAGCGACGCCACCACAGACTCCCAGGACCAGTAAGATGCAGAAAACCACAGCTGGGATCCAAACGCCCTGATGGGATCGACCACCTGATGTGAAAAAAGGCAAACAGAGACCAAAGTTTCAGTAACTGAAATACAACAGTCACATGAATCTGAGCGTGACTCAGCACTAATTATGTTAATTATTTTTCTCCTCACAGAGTTGAATCGTCTCCTCACCTTTAACATCCGTCTCCTCCTTTGGATCTGGAGTTTGGAGACTTCTGGGAAGCACTGGGGTCTCTGTTGTCCAGGTTTTAACAGAGTCTGGATCTGAAAGAAATCAGAAGATTTTAAATATTTGAAATTATATAAGAGTCTGCGGTCGTGTTAGCCGCTCTGTGAGGCTGAACTGTGGCATCATGGAGTCACATGATTAGTCATCATGTGACTTCCTGGTTATGTCACCCCAACACCACTCGAATTCTTCAAAATGCAAATTTACTTGGAAAATGAACGTGATGCAGTTTCTATGACAATATGGATTTTTACCTCGTTCTATTTAATTCAGTCTAACAGGGCGGTAAACTCGGGTCATACTGAAGATAAATTTGATTTTGAAATGCACTGGTGTTACAACAGGATGCATTTCTTCTTTAATAAAGACTTTATTTCCCTAAAGTTAATATTTCATTTCATTTATTAGGATCCACATTAGCTGTGGCCGAAGCAGCAGCTATTCTTCCTGGGGTCCACAGCGCCACAAAACTTTATACAGTGTAAAACACAATTACAAAAAGTCACACACACCAACAATAGTTCACTTTATTTTTACAACCCTGATCATGTGCACACGCCATGTCTACCACACCTTTAACTGGCTCAAGCTAACACTTTTTACAAGCAGCGTATTTTCAAAGTTCTAATAAATATGTGACTGAAGGAAATGACCATAATCAGGTTAAAGCATATTTTATCAAATAAGTAAAATAAAAAGTTCTACATTAAAATCAAATCCAATACAAAAGCTAATGTGATCACACAGTTAAACAGCCAGATGTACAAATCAAACATCAGCTCTTGTCACATGATGCTGTTTATATGATGTAGGCTGTAAACATTAAATACTGTTTGTGAGAACGACTGTAAATCTGTATTTATAAAATGTTAAAATGTTTATTTCAGCAGCAGAGTTATTTAATCTAAAGAAACTTACCAACAACAATCCTAATAATCGTAGCCGTCCCCAGCTGTGGGATGACACATCTGTAGCTTCCTTGGTCGGCGAGCTTCACGTTGAGGATCTTGAGTGAAGCGTTTCCGTGTTTCAGCTCGTCTTTGAACAGCGTCGTCCTCCCAGCGTATGACGACATCTTCCTGTCCTCTACATCGTGGTTGTCATGGTAACGGTGAACATACTTGTTCATGAATGGTAGATCTTCACGCCACCACTCCATGGTCAGATCCTCTACGTTGCGCCGAGGCTCCACGCAACACGGCAGGATGATGTCATCACCCAGAGCGACCACGATTGGTTGAGATGAACCGATCAACTGAGACTGACCTAAGAAACGGAGGGAAAATATAAATCTTTTTTTTTTTTTTTATAAATAAGTCTTCTTTTATGATTAACAGAAGCAAAGATATAATCTGAACTATTTTTACTTCCAAAACCTTTTGACAAACAATAACTCTATTTTCCATCAGCGTTGTCAATAAGGAAAATTATACATATGTGATTTAGAGCTGCAGCAAAGTTATTGTCTTGATTAGTTTTTGATTGAAAATGGTGAAAATGCAAATTATAATTTCCTGAAGGACATATTTTATATGACCAACAGCACCAAACCCAAAATATTGTCAGTTTTATAAGAAAAAACAAACAACCAACTACAACTGAGAAGCTGGAACTAGTAAATATTTGGCTCATGTGCTTAAAACCAAGGTTACGATATGGTAACCCTATATCTATAAGCACAGGCGGAGCCCTCTACTGGACTCTATGGGTACTACCTCCTCCAATCACACGCACGCACTTGCCCACTGGAATTTTATCGTGCACGTAGCCGACCAATAGGACGTCTACTGATACGTGACATAAATAGCAGTGTCCCTACTGCCTCAGCAGGAACGCTAACAACTTCAGAGCCTTGAAAGGTTCTACCGGGAGCTGAATTACCTCCGAGGTAGTCTCCTCTCCAAAACAAACGGACCCGGTCGATTGTGATTATTGTATTAATTATATGTTACCAAAATCAAAAGATGTTTTTAACAACATTGTGAAATAATATTTTTTGGACAATATTTCCATGTTTTGATTAATCTAAAGTTAATTTGTATCTGGAGAATGCTGCTCATCATGAAGTTGGATGTGTCAGTCACAAAGCAGCATGGTGTTGCAACTGACAAATTGTCAGTTTATGAAATAACTAATAGTTGTTGTAGTTTAACAACTTTGTCTTTTAATTTTTGAAATTTGTGTACATCAGTCCCCGCTCAGTGAAATTTTTCACGTGGGCTGGAAATGCAGGGGGATGACTTCATCTGTGAGTTATTGAATCATCACTAACCTTAAGTGGTTACAGCTCTGGTAGAAATTTGAATGAGTAGCCTCAATGAAAAACTACTATTAGTAGCTAAACATAGAAATGAGCTTACGTTCAACGGGCGTCCAGACTGCCGTACTCAAACGTACAGTGAAAAAGGTAAAGCCAAGCACGAAGTTCCTGAAGTGAACCATATCCACCTAGGTCTTCTTCATGTCCAGGTTTTAACGTCAGTCCCTGTAAACGTGCATATAGTCGACACGGCTCAGCCGATCAGAGGGGTCGGGCTTGAGATCCGGCTTCGACCGCTCCGTTAGACCCTCCACATTATAAGCAGGATCCAGGTGGCAGGATGACTTCATCGCCTGGAGCAGCGATGATTGGCTGAAGTGAACTGATCACACAAGGCTGACCTGGAAAAAAAGAGAAATTTAAACCTTGGACAGACTCTTTTTGACTATTCTGAATATATCTGATCCATAATTCTTATTTTATTGTTGATGTTAGTTATTGTATCTTGATTCACTGTTTTTTGTATACAGTGTGTATATCATTTATACATCTACACGCTAACCAATTCTACTTTTATTGTATTTTTGTTCTTTACAATCTTCTGTGCTGCTGTCTCACACTGGAACCATAGTTTATTACGGACTTGTTATCAGGGAGAACATGCTTTAAGTTTGGCCATAAATCTGCGCAACCTTGCTGTTGGGCATGCCGTCAAGACAGTGGCTAATAGTCAGCAATATATATTAAAAAAAATATAAGGATCAGAATACGCTACCCCTGATATCTTAAAAAAAAAAAAAGGCATAATATAGTATTTCAACATTGAAACCAAAAGATTTAACATCCACTGATGCTCCACAGAAGGAAATAAAAGGGAAAATTGTCTCTCCCTCCAGTTACCCACAGAAAGAAATACCTGGGAAAAGAGGAATACTGACATTTAGGACATTGTTGAAGCCTGAAACCTTTGACAGCTCCAGAGACACAGCTGGAGCAGTTTGGATAAGGTTGTCAAAGAGTACAGCCCATAACGACTGAGATAAACACAGTGATAAGGAGAAAAAAAAAACCAAATCAGATCAAGCTGCACTTCCTCAAGATCGGCATAAAAGATAAGATGTTCCTTTCTTAATCATCATATGTCACTCCAGCCAGACAAGAAGGAAAGCAGTCTGAAGCATGCTGAGTCCAGCAAAGGACAGTCCAGAATTACCACTGGACTAAGTTCTGGCCACATGATGCAGGCCAGCAGCTGAACAGCAAGACCAGACCGAATCATGTAGGACTCTCCTAGTCCGCATGACCATCACCTTAGGACTACAGGGGTCTGAAGCGAGACGCAATGAGACCCTAAAGTTCTGAGTTTGATTAGTCCAGAAACTGCTGCTGGAGTAAGGAAGAGTTATATGTCACAACATGTCACATCATGGAAGACAGACGGCACAAAAGACCATGCTTAACATACAAAAGATCAACACAAAAACAACTGTCAAAAGAAAATGATTGGTGCTGTATCAAGCCATCCTGGTACGAAGAAACGGACAGTACAGAGGAAGGGGGCAAAGCAAAGGGCAAAAGTGGTTTTTGGAAAACAGATGTACAATTTCTAAAACAGACTGGCAAGAAAACAAAATGGACTGAGCTGGAGGGGGCGGGACGGACCCTAGTGACAGGATCCAAAAACACCCTGGGTGAGTTATAACCTCTCACAGTAAAAATCTCAAACACATTGAAACTAAAATGAATACCATATTAAGATCTTAGTAAGTAATACCAAACTTGAACATCCTATGTTTGTAATGGGAAATTATCAGAGTAACTGTAATTAGGTCAAACCCTGCAGGTGACATCATTGCTAAATTACTACAAATTTAGATGTGTTCACCGAGGTGAGACTCATTCCAAGGTTCACACGGCTGGTCAGTCGGTGGGACTGCAAAGTAGGCAACACAGACTGCCACACGGCATACAAGCCTAGCAATGACATGCTATTACACCAAATCCGTGCCATCCCTGACCTGTACTGGTCCTGTGGGAGTGGCCGGCTGTACCAAACATTTGCTTTGGTGATGAGGTGCCACGCGTAGACAGACAGGCGCTTCATGCCGGAAGGATGGAGAGGTACATGCACGAGAGTAGTATTGGCATTGGATGGTCCTTATCATGCCATAGAAAGCCTCAGTCTCACAGGAAGAAATGCTCCAGCCCAGACTTTGCCCCTCCGGTGGGACATGCGATTGTCCGAAAGACTAACTGAATTCATTTTAAGGAATTAATCCACAAATAAAGACCAAACTCTTTATTATCAATTTCTTTCCAGTGACAGGACCATTAGATTGGTGAGTAATGCACACACACTTTGAAAAGCTTTTATCTGATGGAACCAGGCAACAGTCTCAGACACAAAAGTAGTCCTGCAAAGAAACAGTCACACTTGTAGCTTTCGTAGATGTCCCCGTTTTATCCCACAAGTTAATCTAGGAGACATTATAGATCCCACGCTATAGGTCAGTTATGAATGTGATGCATGATATTTGATAGCAGAGGTTCTCATCCAGGATGAGTACAAATATAAAATGTTTGATCCCCTGCTTATTCATAACTTCATAATGTCTATGTCCTGCAAAATTGGCTACGGTCAATTTTCTGTATTTGGATGTCCATATATGGCCAGAGGGAGGATTGTTATGGCAGAAAATTATGTCCTCTTATAATCAATCTTTTATGCATTTAATATTATCATCATTATTTTATATATTTATTTTGTGTTTTTAATCCTTAACCTTTCCTCTCCTAAATGTCTTATGTTGGTCTGTCCACATTTACTAGGGTTTAGGTCAGAGGTGTGAGATTGTTTTGGTGTTTTTCTACTCTTGTTGTTCCTCTCCTCTGGAGAGAGGATCTCTGTTCCCCAAAACACAGAAACCTGGACTGTGTAAATAATGATGCATCTCTTTGCTCGGGGCCAGACGTCCAGCTGATTTTGTTGTAGTACTTCTGTTCATTCTCTTTTGTTAAATAAAGTCTTCAAAGACAACAGTTTGTTGTAACTCAATTATTTGCTCAACCTCTCACCAGGAATAACATTTCCACGACAGTCAGTCTCTCATTTGTTTATGCAAAGTAGCCTGCTCACTCGTCAATACTAAAAACAGAGCATACAGAACAAGGAGAAGAGGGGAGCCGAAGAGTAAAATGTAAAAGTGACAGTACCGGTGAATACCGGCACACTTTAAGCACAAACGGTTTTTATAATGTGAGAAATAACAGGAAGTCATCTCTCCCAGTAGTGTGTTCAAAACAATAAAAACAGCGCTGTGGATGAGAGGAGAGGTGACTGCTGGAAGTCAAGACGTCGTGTTTAAGTTTATGTTCTGTTTGCTCAACAGTTTGATAATTGAGTATTAAAACACATTCGGAGAATTTCTGAAACGCTTTCCTCCCCACTGTGATCATTTTGGCGCTGGTAATTTTCCTTGGCGCTTGGCTAAAAAGCCAAAAAATTCTCGATGCAGGAAAAACCCTTAACAATCAGGACACAGTCTCTACTTAACTTATTTTTGTTAACTGATTATCGCTCGACATTTGACTCTGGTAGCGAAGCATATGAACTTACGTTCAATGGGTGTCCAGACAGCCGTACTCAAACATACAGCGAGAGTCCAGAGTGGGAAAAAAGGTAAAGCCAGGAATGGAGCTCCCGAAGTGAACCATAAAAACAGTCGACAGTGAAACAAACACAAAACTACCTCGTTAGATTGAGCTCGACTGGCGCTGAACTACTGCAGGAAGCGCTGTGCAACCCTTTTTATACTCCTCCCTCCGCTTGTAGCACGTGATGAGCACGTGCATGTTATTTTCCACGGAATATAGTCGGGGTTTGTAGCGTCTTCTGTTATTTATCGTCATGTGATGTTTGTTAAAGCTACAACTCTAAGAATGTAAGTAATGTACTTTATAATATCCTCTAGGCAAATGTCTTGTTATTATGGGTCTACCTCTGTCCTATTTTCTTTTGTAGACTTTTTCATTGGCCACTCCGAATAATAAATACTTTAAATTATTTTTAGGTTTTTCACAATAGTTGAGCGCAAACCACCAAGTCAAATCATAAATTTATATAGGCTAGACTTTGCTAGTCTAAGAGGGTGGTGTAAATATTTTAATGATTCATGTAGAGACTTGTGTTATGTGACGCTAAACGTAACAGTCAAAGCATCTCTCTGTTGTCTGTGCTGTTCATCTCGACAAGTTGTCACTGAGAGATGATGAGAGAGACAATACAAGCCTGTGTGGTGAGACTCAGGAAGTTAATGAAACATGATGACACAGAATATCTTTTCAGGTAAACCAAATTAACAAAACTTTCACCAAGACTCTCCCAACACGCAAAGCTCTCTCCCCTTATATCTTAGTATCAACACAACAGCAAATTGTAATCACAGACAAATGGCAGTTACATCTGAAGTTTTAGCATACACTTCTTGGCTATTCCTGAGATGACAAGGACATGCAAAAGTATGTAGCAAAAGGTTGTTCCCATGGTCCCTGTAGAGTCACATATTTGTCTGTGTTAAAATCTCACCTGCATGTCTGCAGAGTTTCTATTGTAAAACGTGACCCTTTGATCAATAATCAAATGTTAATCTTTGAAATTGTTACTGCTTGGCTCAAGGCTGGCAACAAAAAAGGGAGGCCTCACATAGATTACAGAAACAATGGTTTATTTAACTCAAACTAACAAACAACTAAGTGAGATATAACTAAGGTAGATATGATGAATATCAGACATGTCAGAAGTGTGTGGACGAGTGAGAATGAAGTGTAATGCATGTTGATGGGTGCAGCAAAGTAAACAAAGGAACAAAGGCTGGGGTTGAAGGAGCAGGCCAGCAGAGAGAGACGGACTCCCAGAAAGGCAGCCCTTTTATGCCCCAGATGGGCAGGTACAAGTATTGGACCCTCCCAGCTCCACCTACAAGCCACACCCAGCATCTGCAAAAAAGAGAAGACACAGGGCTGGCAGGCGGGCCATCACAAAATGTTAACAAAATTGCGACCAAAACGTATTTCCTAAAATTAAATACAGTAAGTACTTATAGTGTAAAAATAATTTACAACATCAACAATTTTAAATGTATTTCTCACATTCTTTAATTTTTGCTTTAATCAATAAATAACAATTATAGATTACAGATTATTACCTGGATTAAGCAGAAACAAAAGTAGCTGTAACATAAACTCTTGGGCACATTGTCCAGTTACAACCAAATGTCAATGGCAGAAATTCACCTAGTTCACATCAACCTGCCTCGTATTTCCAGCTTTGGTGGCGCCGCATCAGCTCTTTATATATATTCAAGAGTCTGACACACTTGATATTTTTGATCCCAAAGATCAACAGGAAGTTTTTTAGTGGTCTTTAAAAATCTGCCAGGTTGTGTGACAAACTTTTGACATTTAAGGTGTTAAAGAAGACGCATTTCCAGCAGGAAGCTGTGGCCTCTATATGATATAAATGTTGACATTACACTGTGTGATACAGCCCCTCAACCAGCCAGTGAGTCAGTCAGCAAGTGAAATCATGGCGCTAACAGCGCTGACTGATTTTATGTGTTTTATTCTCTGATTTAGCTCTAAAACATTAACTGCATCCTGGTTTCTGAGCGATTTTAATGTTAGTACCCTCCAGTTAAAACCTTTCTGTTGTACATGCTAGTCTGTGTGCACTGTAATCCCAAACAGTTGTACTAGCTCATAACTAATGAGGTCATTACAGTCAAATGTCCTTATGCAGTTGACCAAACTATAAAGTATTGAGCTCTGTTGAGATTTATGCCACTTTAATTGAATAGGGCTCAAAATTTGATAGCTAATTTCTGTGGAACACTCAAAAAGTTTAGGAACCATACAGTTGTGTCATGACGTTATTGACGTCATGACGTTTGGTGGGTGGGTCTTATCTCTCCCTCAGGAAAGCTGAATCAGCCATCTTGAATTTGCCTTCATGCCGTGAAGTTTTCATGGAAGTTTTGGAAAGCCCCACAGTTTAATTTGTTTTTATTTGTTTGCAATGCGCACTTTTATCCCCTCACGTCAAACCCCCACCTCAGTTTTTTTCATCATCATTATTGGCCTGCCTTTTTTTCAGCGCTGTCTTATTATCAGCCCTGATTTGGTAAGTAACTCTAACGTTTTTTTATTGTTTTTTTAATTGAATTTCGATAAATAGTCTTACATTTGGAACTGGGAATACATGTGTACAATGTGCACAGTGAATATTTGTTGTAAATAGTTTACAAATCCAAGTAATTGCAACTTTAGAAGTTGTTGAATCTGACTTACAACGGTGTAAAGTTATCAGCGGGTTTCCTGGAAGAACTACATTTCCCATAATGCATGTTTTCCCGGGAGATGACGTGGATTGAACGACCATGAGTTTGAACTGTCTCGTGGAGTCAGAACCGTTCTTTATGTCTATGGTCTGAAAGCATAACGTTAACTTATCCCTGCTTCCCGGTTTCTGCCGGTCGTTGTTTTCGCTGTTCGCTGGTAATGCATGTGAGCAACGTTATACTTATTTCAATAAGTGTCCGCGTTACATAGTCAGTATTTTAAGTTGTCGAGCTGTGTGTTTGTGTGCAGCGTGAATCTAACAATGCTAAACAACATAATGTGAGTGTGTTATCATGATGCTAACAAGGTCTATGTGTGTATTTTTTTTGTAGGCTCAAGTGTGTGGTTGTGAGATCATCATCTAGAAATCTCCAACGAAGGTTAAAATGAAGGGCAACTGAAAATTTAATTGTATAAATGGAACCTTAAAGATTAAATGGTTAAGATGCCTTCTAGCAAACAGTGGTAGCTTCTGGTATTGTGTGTCCAGGGAATTGTTTAAAAAAATTGGAGGTATTGATTTACTTTTACGCTGTGATTTTGATATTCCAAAACTTTCCATAAAACTGTCCTCCTCATAACATACCCATCTGTAACTGTAGATTAATTCTCTTTAGAAATAAGTCCCTGTATCTCAACGAATGGATGGAAAACAATATTTGGTCTGTCACACATTTACTGGACAACTATGGAAATGTTTTATCCTTTGAAGATTTCAGTACAAAAATAATAAATTTTCATTGCAATCATAAACATTATGATATGGTTTGTTGCGTAAACCAGGGACTGGGAACACAAGTGCAGGACAAGGACAGGTGTTGCGGGCAAGGTGGACTTGGGAGTTGGGGAAAGTGGCGGTGGCAAGGCAAAACTGCGGATGCCGAGGGTTGGCGAGGCGGAGACCGGGAGGCGGATAGGAGAGGCGGTTGCGTGGCTGGTGATGAGGTCCTGGGGCAAAGAAAAACAAGTTAGCTTCAAAGACACAGAGAGGCAGAATTACGAGGTACTAGAATAAGATCTTGAGCCGGAGTATAGCTACTGCTATGGGTGAACAACAATCTGGCTGTCACGGCTTGGTGTGGGTGAGGCAGGTTGGAGGACCCAAACGCAGGACGCAAGGCAGGAAGAGGTACAGTACAAGGGGTTTTAATGAATGAACCAAAAGTGAGCACACTTACAGGTCCAAAAGATATCCAAAAGAAGCAGGGTAACACGACATACAACAGGAGACCTCACAGCAACAACAGGAGACAGCATGCAATGACCCGACAAAGACAAGACAGAACACACACACACACACACACACACACACACACACACACACACACACACACACACACACAGGGACTAACGAGCAGGGCGGGAGCAACACAGGTGAAGGACATGAGATTAACGAGGCAGGCAGAGAGAGACAGTGAATAGAGAGACTGACATGCAGGCAGAGTGACAACTGGGGGAACAGACGGAACACAGGTTACTGAACACAAAACAGACCAGAGTGAACACTTAACATGAACTAAGGTACAGGACTGGGAACAAGGACAAAGAACTAAAACGCAGGAACAAGAGCAAGGCAGTGACTAAGAAACAATATAACAAGTAGACTACCAAACCAATATCAAAACAACACAGGACTACGAGCTAGAACACCAGACAAGACATAAACACTAAGGACAAGGAAACAAGAAGAACAGGAAAACAGAAGGACACCAGAAACAAATGGCAAAAACTACAACTCATGACACTGGCGACGAATGACTGGAGAAGATATACTGCAGGCCATGGTCGGATGAGGAGTGATGAGCTGATTGCCAACAGGTGCGTGAGCCCACGGACCCACTGGAGGTAGTCATGATGACACACACACACACACACACACACACACACACACACACACACACACACACACACACACACACACACACACACACACACACACACACACACACACACACACACACAGAGACAGACGGGGAAGGGATAACACAGGGACCTGGCCAAGGCCGTAACATGGTTATCCAAAGCATCCCATCTGCAATCCTTTTGATGGCAAAAAATGAACTACCTCATATGTTCAACCCTCCTCGTCTTCCTTCATTGATGATTGCTGGTCACCAGTTTTATAGTAAGACTTTGCAAAACAAAGTGTTCCGTGATCTCTTCACTCTGACTTTATACCCAATGTAACACAGCTGAAATGCTGCCTATCTTATTTTCAATCATTCTTCTCTGAAGAAACTACGCACAGATTTCTTAAAGTTACCTTTATCACCAAAAGCTAAAGATATAATCTTCAAGAGATCTCCTCTCACATAGATTTAACATTGATCCAACTAACTGTATATTCTGTGATGAGGACAAAAAGACCACAGATCATTTGTTTTTCTTCTGTCCTTACAGTAACACATTTTGGTGTGACATGTATGATTGGCTGGAACCTTATCTCCAGTCTCTCTCCAATTTCACTAGAGATAACATCACATTTGGAATTATAATGAAGGATAAAAACTATGAACTGCTTTTAAACACTTTAATTATCTCGGGTAAATTTTTCATCCACAAATGTAAATGTTTGAAAACACAACCTCTTTTTACTGTCTTCAAGAAAAATTCTTGATTTTATTGATGCCTTAAAATTATCTGAAACCCCATAACTGTTTAACTACTGTTTCTTAATTTATTTGTATTTTATTTGTACTATTTTGTACATATTTCATATTATTTTCTTATTTTCATATCTTCTCTTTTAATTTATTTTCTTCTTCCTAAAGCGTTGTGCTCCGTTTCCTGTTAGCACTAATATTTGGTGATTGTGCCAGATACTGTTTTTTTCACCTCAATAAAGAAAAAACAATAAAATCAAAAACAAAGGTCTCCAAGGGAAAAGCAATGACAATAGGTCTCCTTGGGGAAAGGCAAAAGCAAATGTATGTATTTATTCTTTTATTGATTCATTCTTTCTTTGATATATTTCTGCATTTATTTATCTATTCTTTTATTCATTCATTCTTTCTTGCATATATTTCCCCATTTATTTATTTATTCTTTCATTTAATTCTGACACTTTGGATGTTCCATAAAAGACGGAAAACCACTTAAATACACAGGTGAAGGAGTAACTAATTACACACAGGTGAGACCACTAAGACAATCAAGGACAAGCACACGAAGTAAAACATCACAAGAGACACTAGGGCAGACTAACTCCAAACTAAAACAGGAAGTAAAGTTCACTGAAACACTCAAGGAACAATGTCCCAAAATGAACTGAACAAAATTATAAACGCAACACTTTTGTTTTTGTCCCCATTCATCAAGAGCTGAACTCAAAGATCTAAGACTTTCTCTATATAAGGTCTATTTCTCTCAAATATTTTTCACAAATCTGTCAAAATCTGTGTTAGTGAGCTCTTCTTTTTTGCTGAGATAATCCATCCACCTCACAGGTCTGGCATATCAAGATGCTGATCAGACAGCATGGGTATTGCACAGGTATACCTTAGGCTGGCCACCATAAAAGGCCACTCCGCCGTCGGTCAGTGAAGGTTTCATTAATTTGAACTAATCTTTTATATGACGCGGGAGTAACGAGTAGTCTCAAAGAGTGATTAGTTCATTTTCACACATGCATGAATTGTCTTGGACTCATCACACAGCAGCTGCATGGGCTCTATTAGCACAGGAAATAGAATTGATGAATTGTTTGCGACTCTTAACTGTGGGTCTCTGGATTTAAGTCATTCATTTGTCATGTGACAGCTCGGCTACTGACTTTGGAGACATGAATGATTCATTCACCACTCACATGGGTCCTCTGATTTTCGTTCATTTGGCAGGCTGACTTCCTGCACGTCGGTTGTCTGATAACAGTCACTCAATATTTTGTTAATTATCTGACATTTAATAAAGCGTAATGTTATTACAGTGCACTGATTTTGTGCCATTCTGTTTACACAGCCATACTGTAATGTTCACGTTAGTCCTGTTAGTGTTAACAGCTAACAGCTGAAGAGAGTTCACAGGTTTCTACCAGGAGCCGAATTACCACTGAGGTAGTCTCCTCTCCAAAACAAATGGACCCAAAACATTTTAAAAAACGGTAACACAGCCATACTGTGCGTTAGTGTTGTGGTGTGTTTACAGCTGACAGCTGTTGGGACTTAGAGAATGCGTAACTTACTTTTTATTTATCAATAGAGCTGTGCTGTTGTTTCACAGCTCTTGACTGTTGAACAACCTGGCCTGCTTATGTTTTTTCCCCCTCTTTTGCCCATTCTTCCAGGTTTATACAAACTATCCTCTCATAGTTTCTTATTTTTCTATTTACACTGTTAGTCTGTACCAAAGCCTGTCCAGCAGATGGCTCCATTTTGACTGTATCAAGTGGTTTGAAATAATAAACCACTTTGAGAACAAGTTTCTAAGGGGGGACTTGGGATGGTTGGAACCTTTTTGACACTTCTGTCTGTATTTCGGAGCTCTTTTAAGCCAGTGTGTTAAAAATGTGATACAATCTAGTTACAGGTGTCTGTTATTAAATGGTGCAGCTGTTTAGCCTCAACAGTCTCAAACACAAGGAGTAAAACGTTTCAAATCACCCAATTTTAGGTTAGTTTTAACATACCCTGGGGTGAAATACTGTATAACATTATGTATATTTAAAGCTTCTATTCAACACTTAAATTATTTCTTAATATAATTAAGTGTGTGTGTTTAGAGGTGAATCGTAGTTCTTCACTGTCAGTCACAGTATAGTTGTGAACATAATAATGAAATTTAACAAAATGTGCAAATGTGGACCAGCTGAATGTGATTGTGTGTGTTTGTGCGTGTTTGTCCTGCATCATCAGGGGTGACAGACATATAGCACTCATGGAGTGAAGGTCTCATGGGCCCACAGAGAAGCCTACAGGGCTTGTGTTGTGTTACAACCAACTGTTTCCCCTACGTATTTATAGTAGTCAAACAGATCCTGACGTTAGTGGTAGTAGCAGAAACAGTTGTAGTTGTTGCTGTAGTCGCATACATTTGTGAGACAATTTTGAAGGACAAACTTAGAACAGATAAGGAGGAGTCTGGAAATAAATTCACATCTTGAAGAAAAAGAGAGCAATAACCTGATGATGATAATGAATAAAAAAAGATTAATTAGGTGAAGAGAAGAACCTGATCTTCCGCAGTCTCCGGCTCCGTCGTTGGCATCTGCAGGTCGTTCTCCATCCCAACTGAGGATAGAAAAGATGAAGAGAGATCAGGTGGAAGAAAAATGAAGAGAAGAAGAAAAGTAAGCCCCAGGGGAAGGTTGCCGAGGGCAGTGAATGTGCTACTGCAGGTCCAACACTGCAAGTTCACTCTTAGTTCAAGTCTAACTTAATTCTGCACATCAAAAATACACAACATAACAAAACATATATTTGGTAAAGAAACAAGCTATTAAAAAGTCCATGATGGTACAATTAAGTGAACTTTCTTGTACTGTTTTCGTATGCTTACCATTTATAAGATTTAAAGACAGTGAAGTTAAGTGACCAAAATGTACCTTTAAAAAATGTCACAATCTTGTGCCCTAAGAAAGAAAAGAAAAGCATTAGGCTGATCAATCAGAGTCAAAGGTACACAATCTAAAAATGTGTGTGATATTATATTCAGAATGATTTACGTATAAGCTGCACATGAATCCTGTATGTATAGAGTTACAATACAGATTTGCACTATTGCCACTCAGGGGACTCCCTGCCATTTTTATTTAGTTTTCTATCTAAGAACAGTACTCAGTCTCCCCTTCCCTTAGGATTGTATGTAAAATAATACATATATATGTATTTTTGTACATGTACATATTAGTTGTTAAAATGAGTATCGAATCACTTTAAACCTTGAGTAATCTGCACCTGCTGCATCACAGCCAATAACTGAAGGAGCTTGTTTGTATTTCTCCTTAATCGTATTTAGTCTTTAATTGTGTAAATAAATCATAAACACATCAACTGTATAAAATGTACAAATTAGGCAACCAACATTTTCTCAAAAAGAGGTGATATTGTTATTATGAACAACAAATATTTTTCGCAACCCCCCCCCCCCCCCCAAACATTATTTACCTTCAGAACTGAGATGATTCTTCGATCCTCCTCAGATGAGTGTTACTCTGTGAAGTCTCCTTTTAAACACCTTCTGAATTCCTGGAGGCAGGACTTCTTCAGAATTTACTGTGAAAGAGTTCCTCATGAATTTGATTAGCATTTGTTTATCTACAGAACAAAAATATTTTGTGTGTGT